AACAATCAGTGTTATGCAGATGACACAATCCTGCTTGCTGAAACTGAGGAGGACCTGAAGCACCTGCTGCAGAGGGTCAAGGACTGTAGCCTCCAATATGGATTGAGGCTCAATGTCAAGAAAACAGAGATTCTCACCACTAGGCCAATCGGCAGCATCAGGATGGATGGTGAAGAGATTGTGATTGTACACAGCTTTAGTTCACTTGGCTCCACAGTCAACACTCTTGGCATCAGTAGCCAAGAAATTAAAAGGCGCATTGCCATGGGAAAGTCTGCTGTTAGGGACCTCTTCAAAGTACTGAAGAGCAATTGTATCTCTCTGGAGACTAAGGTGTGTCTGATACAGGCCATGGTTATGCATCAGAGGGTTGGACAATGACCAAGGAGGACAGAAGGAGAATTGATGCCTTTGAGCTTTTGTGCTAGAGAAGAGTATTGAGGGTACCATGGACTGCTAGGAAAACAAACAGATTCATCCAGGGAGGTGTTAAACCGGGTGGCTCTTTGGAGGCAAGGATTCTGAGGCTCCGTGTAACATACTTTGGACATGTTGTAAGAAGAGACCGGTCCTTGGAGAAGGACATCATGCTGGGGAGGGTGGAGGGACACCACAGGAGGGGAAGGCCCTCTATGAGGTGGATTGATTCGGTGACTGGGGTTATCAGGATGGGAGTGTCAGAGACAGTGTATTTGGCACAAGACAGAGTTTAGGGCTATTGTGCATAGGGTCGCTATGAGTCGCAAGCGACTCAACGGCACATAACAACAACAACAATTACAACTCACTAAGGAAGCCATAAATGTAAAGCTGATCTTGGATGCAATTAACCAAGTAGTAAGGTTATGAAATGATTTTGACTCATCAGTTCTAGGATTTTTTAAAAAGGACATGAATGTGTTGGGCTATGGAATATTTTCAGAATTAGAATTTACACTAAGTGTTCCACAGTCTTATTCTTTCTTGTACCTTGATGCATATTATCTCTAACCTGCTCACTGCTGGACCAATAAGCAACATCATGATAATCAGAAAACCTGAAGTGGTCAAGGACTTCATTCTACCTGGATCTAACAACTATGGTCAATACCCATGGACACAGCCATGAAGAAATCAAATTACATGCTGCATTGCTGCAAAGGACTGCTTTACAGTGCCAAAGAGCAAGGATGTGTATTTAAAAGAGTAAGGTATGCCTGAGGCTAAGGCTTGGTATTTTCAATTGCTTCATATGCATGTGAAATTTGGAAATTAATAAGGAAGACTGATGAATTCTTGCCTTTCAATAACGGTGATGAGGGCTGAATATATCATGAAATGTCCAAAGAACAAATAAATCTATCTTGGAAGAATTACAGAGTTCTCCTTAGAAACAAAGATTGTGAGACTAAATTCTCACATATTTTGGGCATGTTGTCAGGAGAGGTAAGTCCTTAGAGAAGGACATCATGCTTGCACAGGTGGACAATCAGTGAAAGAGAGGAAAATCCTCAATGAGATGGACTCTAACAATTTTAAGGATGATATCAGACTGGACAAAATTTCAAGATGCTGTAAATAGGGCTGCAATGAGTCAGCACTGACATACTGGGACCTGGTAACAACAACTCCCTTAGGATGTAGCCACATGTGTTCTTCTAAAGGGAAGCTAGGAAGAACTCTACTCTTTATTCATAAAGAAATTTAGCAGCTAAGTTTCTTTTACACCATAGCCTGTATATAAATGTGTAAGACATTCCTTGTGAATCTTGAATTTATATTATGTAAAACATGTTTTCAAATAATGTATGCAATGGGGAAAAAGGCAACAAAATAATAAGGATAAAAGGTTGTACTTATTACTGTTTTGTTTTTTTTTTCACAAAACAGTAATAAATTCTCTCAGGCATTTAAAAATAATTCATAAGGTCTCAAAATACCCTAAATCCATAAACAAGTAATTTAAATTTCTCTTTGTTGCCCGGAACTTTTCTTCCCCACATACACACAGATGGTGGTGCACTTACCTCTCCTGGTCTGATCTTAATATAAAAGTTGTTCCGTTTGTATGAGATTTTTAGAACTTTGGGCCAGGCAAATCTGTTTATTCGAAGTCGGTCACGATATATCAACAGGCCACTTGCACACACTCCTAACATAATTTCTACTCCTTCTGAATCCTGGAGAACAGAAACAAGAAACCAAAGGTCAGCAACTCGGATACCGACACCATGTGTCCATGACAGAACTTATTCAGAGGTGATTGCTATGACACTAATTCAAATAAGAAGATGCCAAGTGAACCGGGGTGGGGGTGGGGGGGAAGAACTGGGGAATGAATGGAAATCACAATTAAAATAAAGAATTTAAAAACAAACCACAAGTATGAAAATACTGAAATTATCTTATAAAAAGAGACATGCCTTTGAATTGAGGTTTTTTCCCCCTTTCATTCATATACATTGTGCTTTATACAATCTTTCATTTACATTGTGTTTCATACAATCACTCATATACATTCTATTTCACATTACTTTTTATACTAGTTTATTTATAAAATTCAAATACATTGTTTTTCACACCAAATCCTTCCCATTTCCCTCACCCTCTCATCAGAATGTGTGGCCCCATGATTAATCCTCAACCGCTCCCTTCACCCCCAACCCCAGTCCCTCTGCTTCCACCATTCCCCCTTGGATCCTCAAATTCATTCTACAATAATGGTTTTCTACAGTATTTGTCCTTATAGGACTGAGTTAGTTCATTCTGCATAATGCTCGCCGATCTCTCCAAAGTTAGGTAGTAATTTATAAAATTCTTACTCCTGTGTGCTGCATAGCATTCCACTGTGTGATTATATGATAATTTTTCAATCCATTCAATTGTGGTTGGACATTTGGGCTATTTCCATCTTCTTACAATGGTGACTAATGCTGATATGAATATTGATGTATAAGTCTCTGTGCCTCAGTTCTCATTTTCTTGGGGTATATTCCAAGCAATGAAATAGCTGGGTCATACGGAATTTCTATATTCACCTTTTTGAGGAAGCATCAAACTGCCTTCCAGAGTGGTTGTAGCATTTTACAATCCCACCAAAAATCTACAAGAGTTCCTATCTTGCCATATCCTCTCCAACATTTATTACTTGCTAATGGAGACGCAACATTTTTAATAATGTCTGTTGTCTCAGTATCTGACTTATCCTATAAATAAATATGACATGTAAGGATGATACTTGAGCTTAAGAAATGCTTAGCGAGTTTGGCCCCTCTGATTTTATGAATCCAGCTCTTTGCACATTTCATTATAGTACTTTGCTTTGTTTTCCCCCACTGCCCTTTGAAATCTTCTGTTCACCTCCTTAATGTCTTTATTTCTTCCCTCCGCTTTGGCTTCTTGGCACTCTAGTACAATATTCAGAGTATCTTCTGACATCCATTTTGGTCTTTTCTTCCTCTTCTGTCTCTATAATGACCTTTTGCATTCTTTCTGGATGATATTCTTGATATCCCCGCATAACTCATCTGGTATTTGCTCATTAGTGTTCAAGGCCTCTAACTTATTCCTGATATGGTTTAAGTCAGGTGGGATAGACTCAAGGTCATATTTTAGTTCCCATAATTTTCCTTAGTTTCAGCTTGAACTTGCATATGAGTAGTTGGTGGTTTGTCCACAATCAGCACGTGGCCTAGTTTTCACAGCTGATATTAAGCTTTTCCAGTGATTCTTTCTACAGATGTAATCAATCTGCTTCCTATGCATTCCTATGGATTTCAGGTGAAATCCATGTGTATAGTCTGTGTTTATGTTTCTTATAAAATATATTTGCAATGAATAAATAATTGTGCAAATTTCTATCATTCTATCTCTAGCTTCATTTCTGTCACCAAGTCCATGTTTTCCAACTACTGTTCCTTCTTCTCTGTGCCTAACTTTTGCATTCCAGTCACCCACTATTACTAATGCATCTTGATTTCATGTTCGATTGATCTCTAACTGCAAATTTGATAGAATCTTCTATTTCCTCTTCTCTGGCTCGGGCTGTTGGTGCATATATCTGAATGATAGTGGTATTCACTGGGATTCCTTGTATGCATATGGATATTATCCTGTCACAATCAATATTGTATTTCAAGACAGATCTAGAAATGGCCTTTGTAACTACGAAAGCAATCCAATTTTTCTTCACCTTTTATCTCCAGCATAGTAGATCCTAAGATCAAGACTCGAGTTGCAATACTTAGGAATGCTTTTAGGCAGGAAGTAGTAAAAGAAGATGGAAAGAGAATACAGAGTCACTGTACCAAAAGAAATTGGCAGATAAAGAAGAATTTCATGAAAGAATGTATGAGCAAATGCCTATGGTAATGGAAGAAGTTCAAACTGCTCTGAAAGAATTGGCAAAAAAACAAGGCCCCAGGAATTGACGGTATACCAACTGAAATATATAGACCAACAAACAGATGCTGCCCTAGATGTGCTTACCAAGTTGTGCCAAGAAACCTGGAGGACAACCACCAAGCCAACTGACTGGAAGAAATTTATATTTATTCCCAAGAAAGGTGATCCAACAGACTGTTGAAATTATTGAACAATTTTATTAATGTCACATCCAAGCAAGATTCTGCTGAAGATTATCCAAAAACAACTGGAATAACACCTTAAACAAGAACTGCCAGAAGTGCAGACTGGGTTTAGAAGAGGTCGTGGTACTAGGGATATTGTAGCTATTGTTAGATGGATCTTGGCTGAAAGCAGGGAATACCAGAGGAAATGTCTAACTGTGCTTCATTGACTATGCAAAGTCATTTGACAGTGTGGACCAGAACAAACTGTGGCTAATGCTGAGAAGAATGGGAATCCCAGAACACTTGATCATGCTTATGAGAAACCTACAGTTGGACCAGGAGTCAGTCGTTAGAACAGAGCAAGGAAACACAGCATGGCTCAAAATTGGGAAGGTTGTACACCAGGGATGTGTCCTATATCCATACCTTTTCAATCTATATGTGGAACAGATTATCTGGGAGGCTGGACTCTATGAGGAGAAATGTGGGATCAGTATTGAAGGAAGATTCATCAACCATCTGTGTTATGCAGATGACACAACCCTGCTTGCTAATACTGAGGAGGACCTGAAGCACTTGCTACAGAAGGTCAAAGACTGCAGCCTTCAATATGGATTGAAGCTCAACATCAAGAAAACAAGATTCTCCCCACTGGGCCGATTGGCAGCATCGTGATGGATGGTGAAGAGATTGAGACTATTAACAGCTTTAGTTTGCTTGGTTCCACAATCAATACGTTTGGCACCAGGAGCCAGGAAATTAAAAGACATATTGTATTAGAAGAGTCTGCTGTCCAATACCTCTCCAAAGTACTGAAGAACAATGATGTCAGTCTGGAGACTAAGGTATGCCTAATACATGCCACAGACTTTGCAATCACTTGCTATCTACAGAGAGCTGGTCAATGACTAGGGATAACAGAAGGAGAATTGATGCCTTTGAGCTGTGGTGTTGAAGGGGAGTATTGAATATACCGTGTACTGCTACGAGAATGAACAAGTTTGTCCTGGAGAGGGATGTAGTTAAACCAGACTGCTCCTTGAAGGTAAGAATTCTGAAGCTTCATCTTATGCACTTTGGACATGTTGCAAGGAGGGACCAGACCTTGCAGAGGGATATCATGCTTGGGAGAGTGGAGGGACAGTGCAGGAGAGGAAGATTCTCAGTGAGGTGGATTGACTCAGTGACTGGTATAATGAGGGCAGGTGTGTCAGAGACACTAAGATTAGCACAGGATAGGGCAGGGTTTAGGACCGTTGTACATAGGGTCTCTATGAGTCACAGGTGACTTGATGGCACATAACAACAACAACAACAACAACAGGGATGATCTACCATCAGATGGAAGTGTGCTCACAGAATAAAAATTAAAGCCACACTGTAGTTTGAGTAGGAGGCTATGTGCTAATTGTTTTTCACATATTAACTCTTTGCTTTTAAGAGGTTATTTGATCTTGCTATTATTCCTCCCATTTCACAGATGAAAAAACTGAGGCATTGAGAGGATAACTGCCTTCCTCAATTGTACGTTGGCAGCTCATTTACAAAAGGCAGCACTCTTTTCTTTTTACTGAACTTTAAAAATTGTGGTGAAAAAACACACAAAACCTAATTCATACATGTGTAGTTTTGTGATATTGATTATATTCTTCAAGCTATGTTATCATTATTTAAATTCTCTTTGAAATGATCCCACCACCAATAACATAAATGCAATGATGCCTTAACAAAAAGTTCCAGGGTTCCGTTCTCTCTCATCCTTGGACATGGGCTAGCTGGCATGATCAGTAATAATAAGAGGAACACAACTGTCTTATCTCCTGTGTGCATGTCAGGGGTTGTGTGAAGTGCCACAATTTATGAAATGACCTGTGCTTGAGTGACTGAATGAAAACCAACAGTACTGGAAATAGGAGTGCCTCAATATTTTTCCCATACCATTACTGTCAGAGTAAAATTTGCATTTGTTGTTGTTGTTGTTGTTATGTGCCGTCAAGTCGCTTGCGACTCATAGCGACCCTATGTACAACAGCCCTAAACTCCGCTCTGTCCTGTATCAATCGCACTGTCTCTGACACTCCCATCCCAATTATCCCAGTCACTGAATCAATCCACCTCATAGAGGGCTTTCCTCTCCTGCGCTGTCCCTCCACCCTCCCAAGCATGATGTCCCTCTCTAAGGACCAGTCTCTCCTCACAACATGTCCAAAGTATGTTAGATGGAGCCTCAGAATCCTTGCCTCCAAGGAGCCACCTGGTTTAACCCTTTCCAGGACAAATCTGTTTGTTTTCCTAGCCGTCCATGGTATTCTCAATACTCTTCTCCAGCACCACAGCTCAAAGGCATCAATTCTCCTTCTGTCCTCCTTGGTCACTGTCCAACTCTCTGATGCATAACAAGTGATTGCGAAGACCATGGCCTGTATCAGACGCACCTCAGTCTCCAGAGAGGCACCACTGCCCTTCAGTACTTTGGAGAAGTCCCTAACAGCAGACTTTCCCATGGCAATGCGCCTTTTAATTTCCTGGCTGCTGGTGCCAAGACTGTTGACTATGGAGCCAAGCAAACTAAAGCTGTGTACAATCTCAATCTCTTCACCATCCATCCT